AGATTAAATTTGTAACAATTATGTGGCTAAGGAGGAAATTGCGGCCAATGTCTTAAAATAGTTGAGAGTTTCAGTGTAAAAGTTATTAATGTGAAGTATGAAAGTATAAATTGGGGTAAATGTAAGAAATGAAAATTAATTCAATGAAACGTTTATGTTTCTATCGGCAGATATAGTTGTTAAAGTAGCTGCCCCTGATCGGATTGTAACTCCGAACTGGCTCCAAACTTATTGTTGGCTTATCAAGCTTGTTAAATTCTGATAGATTAAATAGGGCAAACCAGGTCTATTATTGAGATATAAAAACTTCAACAAAGTCAAACAAAGTCAAAAACTTCAACAATAAGTTTAGATTTGTTCGAATTGGTCACCCTTGTCACGAATTATCGCCTTCAAACAGCCAATGAAACCGTAACACGCTTCCCGCATATTGTTCTGCGGTATTTTCGCCCCGTTGGAATGTCCAAGGTCTGCGCCCAAAATGTTTGCGTGCCCAAGGCTTTAATACACCCTCCAGAATATTTTCGCGATAATATTCGGCATTTATTCTGATGCCACGGTCGATTAATACGAGCGTAGGGCGACCATCGGCTGTTATGGCGGCCCACACCATCACTATGGCCAGCGCTTGAGTTTTGGTGGCCAACCGAAGATGCATATATTCAGCTGATCTCTTTGGCAAGTAAACACGATCATTTATTTGTTTGTTTACAAAATGCTGTACAACGAATGTTTTCTCATCGGAGAAAACCAAATTCGGCAGTTCACCACTTTCGGCCAAGCAAAGCAACTCTTTACCTCTTTTGAGCCTATTTTCTTTCCGTTGCGGTGTAAGTTCTTGCTCTTTTTTGAATTTTAATGGCCTTAAATCGAGCTCATTTTTCAATATTTGCCGAATGGAATATTGCGATATGTTCAGCTCACGAGCCATTTTTTCGGCCACTGCGACGCGGGATTCGATCGAGTCGCTTCTTTACTTTTCGAACCATTTCGGCTGATGTTGCGGTTTTCTTCTGTCCATTTCCTTGACGTCGGACTACGCTACCAGTATCACGGTAACGAGCGATGGTACGAGACACAAAAGATTTATTCACATTTAAATTCTGGAGTGCTCTAACGATAGCCACTTGTGGTTTTTCAGCCAAATATAAAGAAATCGCACTATCACTCTCTAATTCCATCACGAATAACTTTTTTTCTGGAAAATTGTCAATAAAATTGTCAATAAAATATAATGAGCGGTCACTGGAATAATGTTAACAGCTGTTGGACGAGTGGCTTATAAATGACTTCAGTCTGAAGTTGGTTGCAGTTTTTTCATCTCACCCTGTACAAATTACTTTTTGTCGAATTTTTTGAAATTTTATTCATTTAAGTGTTTGCTGGCTGCCAAAAAGTATGATCCCTTGTATTCTATTTTCATATCAGCCTCAATATAGACAACAATATAACAAAAAAGAAGAAAATCGAACATTGATTTCCCACTTTGAGTTATTATTATTTTTAAAATTCAATTTTTTTTACCTCTTGTTGATGAAAAAATATATCGATAATTCCGATTTTCAAACTTGCTTAAAAAATGCCTTAATATTGGGATGTGCTGCGTTTTATGATAATCAGATATAGTTTTTACTTATTACCAGAGTGTTTATAATTATTTAAAAACTTTACCAATTGTGAGTAAGGTACTGGAAGGAGTGGACCATAATTATTCATGTTCGTACCGGACCTCAACTTTATGTAATTCATACGAATATTAAAAAAAATATTGAGTACCCCCTTCGTAAACCATAGAGAATGCCCCGATATATTCGATTTTCTCACTGGATCTAACAGGGGCCACAAAATTAAATGGTACTAAGTTTCAAAAAATCGGACATCGATTTCGCATATTACGATTGGTATTATTCAGATGCCAAAGGAAACGGCTTAAAATTTTTCACGAGGCTCAGTTTCGGTGGTGGATATGTGATAAGGTTAGGTTTTTATCAATTCGTACTAAAAGGATACAAATTTACTAAAATGTAACAAAAAAGTAATAATGCTATATTGGACAAGCGGAAAACTAGAATTCTGACATTTGGAATGGGAATCACCAATGAAGTACAGGATAGATGTAGCAAATTGGTATAAATGAAATTTGATATTGCTGTAACAGTTGGTGTCTAGGGTTGAGGTAGTACGAAAAGTACTAAATGTTACTGAATTTGGTACTGAGTGAATGTATATAGCTGGAATCCCAAAATTGGTTTTGTAAATGTATACTATAATTGTTAAAAAAGTATCAAATTGTACCAATTTTTATACCCTCAGCCATATAGCTACAGAGGATATATATCATTTGATACGGCCAAAATATGCCTAGCGAAATAACGGTTTTAGACCCTAGATCTAGAGATGTCCGTCCGTCTGTCTATCTCTCTGGCTGGTGCGCACGATAACTTTCGACGGAAGTATCCGGTTTGGTGCAAACTTGGTACATCGCAATATTATTATTATAAAACTTAGATCGAATTCGGAGATGGGCAATATCGGTCCACTCCCTCTGGTACCTCCCCCACAAAAGGTCGAAATTTACAAAAATAAATTTTACTGAACAGAAAGATAAAGGATAATCCTATTTTGCTCCAAATTAGCAAACCCTTATATTTACATCAGTGCTAGGTCAGGTTCGAAAATGGACAATATCGATCCACTCCATAAAGTACCTCTCCCACATGGGGTCAACATTTTGAACAACAAGTTAAAAAGTATAACCCGGTTTGCCGAGAGATGTATACTCTCAGCCAATGTACGATTATTTAAAAATATGTTGACTTCTGTTATGATAATTCAATTGTTTAACCCCTTATGGAGTAGGTTCCGAAGGAATAGACCAATATTGGTCATTTCGTATCGGACCTGAATAAATATGATATAAATATTGTGACATGCCAGGTTTGGATTATATTCACTTTACATGACATATATAATTTTTAGAAAATGTTAACATGTGCGTGAGGTACCAGATATAGTCGATCGAAGTATTCCATTTTCATGCTTCATCTAAGATACATAAAAATATTGGTATGGGCAATATTACAAGAAAATCTAACATTTATATCGAACTTATGGAAAATTCCATTTTCATCTCAGGTTTCTGGCAAAGAGAGATATTTTTAGATATTGCATGTTGTAAATAATCGCTGACTTGTATCGGAAGTTGTGACAGACACAATTATTGAAAATTACGACCCATTGTGAGTTAAGTTCCAGAGAGGGGTTCACAGAAATATATCATCTGCACAACAGATATTGTATTAACAAAAATGTATGTATGTGTGAAATTTAAAGCTTGAAACCTATGTGGGTCAGGTAGCAAAAAAAAAAATGGTCCGATCTCTACCATTTTTAAAACAGATCTTGTGTTGATGGAAATAGTGAGAATCGGATGTTAATTTTGCTTTTATGGGTTTTATAGATATTCAACATTTTAAGCCTTTGTGGGGGAGGTACCAGAAGGAGTGGAGCGACATATCGCATCTTCACAACAGATCTTTTGTTAGTGAAAATAATGAAATGTGTGAAATAAACAAAGAACCTGATGCTTATTTCGGATTTTATATTTATTTGGTTATTCAAAACGTTGGCACTTTGTGGGGGAGGTACCAGAAGGAATGGCCAGATCTCAACCGTTTTTACAACAGATCCTGTGTTGATAGCAATATTTAGATGTGCGGAGTCTAAATGGAATCGGATATTAACTTTGCGTCTTATGAGCATAATGGATATTCAAAATTTTTGTGGGGGAGGTACCAGACGTAGTGGACCGATATATTCCATCTTAACACCAGATCTTGAGTTTATAAAAATATTGGGATGTGTGAAATTTGAAGACAATCGGACACCTACGTCACATTTTATAAGAGTTGTAATTATTCAAAATTTTGACCCTTTGTGGGGGAGGTACTTGATGGAGTGGACCGATATTGTCCATTTTCGATCCTGACGTAGCACTGATGTAAATATTAGGATTTGTAAAGTCGGAGCAAAATCCGATTATCCTTTCACTTTCTGTGTAGAAAATGTATTTTTTAAAATTTCAACTTTTTGTGTGGGAGGTACCAGAAGGAGTGGACCGATACATTCCATCTTCACGCAAGGCTTTGGGTCAATAAAATTATTGGTATGTGTGAAATTTGAAGACAATCGCACTCTTACATCACATTTTATGAGAGTTGTAATTATTCAAAATTTTGAACCTTTGTGGGGGAGGTACCTGATGCATTGGACCGATATTGTCCATTTTCGTGCCTGACCTAGCACTGATGAAAATATTAGGATTCGCAAAGTTAGAGCGAAATCGGATTATCCCTTCTTTTTCTGTGCAATAATTTATTTTCTTTGAAAATTTTAATATTTTGTGTGAGAAGCACCAAAATGAGTGGACCGACATTGCCTATCTCCGAACTCGATCTAAGTTTGACAACAATATTGCGATGTATCAACTGTGGATCAAATCGGATATTCTCTTCGAGACTTATCGTGCGCACCAGCCAGCCAGAGAGACGGACGGACGGACATCGTTAGATCGACTCCAAACGTCCTGAAACGGATTTGGTCCAAAGAGACCTAGGGTCTAAAACCGTTATTTCGATGAGGCACGTTTTGGCCATATTATATGATGAAACCCTCTCTAGCCTTATATCTGAGGCTATTAAATGGGCTTTTTTTATAGGAAATTTCAATTCCCCAAACTTTTTCCGAGAAAAGCCCAATTTAGCAAACTTTCGACCATAAGGATAGATATGAGATTTCATCAAACTTTTGCTAATTGTTTTTTATCTCTCTTTCCGCAAATATGACAACTAATTACCATTACAAGAGACAGAATAAATTATAATTCAATTATTGCAACTCCATGGGGAGACAGAGACTCTAACTTCATATTAATACCACTACTACAACAAACACCTTCACATCCTCTCCACCCACCCATCCATCCATCTGTCCATACTTACATTGTTTTTTGTGTTTAGCTAAACGACGAACACTGGCTCGACGCTCCGCATCATTACATCTTGAGGGAAACTTTGAAGGCGCTCTCAATGCTGTGGAGCCACTGGATGACAAAGCCAAAGTAGTCTGGTTGCTGTTGTTGATGTTGTTGGCGCTCTTGTTCGAGCTGTTGCTGTCACTGTTATTTGGAATATTGATGTGGTCAGATGTGGTTGTTTTGTTGGGCAAAAGTAAAGATGTTGGGTTCGAAGCAGCATCCGCATCAGTACCAGCAATGTTATCTTCATCTTCATCATCTTGCTCGTCTTGAATGACAGTTGTTGATGTTGTTCCCTGTTGTTGTTGTTGTCGTTGTTGCGTTTGTTGTGATAAAGTTTTTGTGGTTACTGCAATATGTCCATCATTAGTAATATGACGAAGACGATGATGCTGATGATGATGATGATCATCATCAGAACGAGCAGTAGCATTAGAGGGAATAGCAGCATTCATCTTCATGTCTTCAAGTTGTTGCCTTTCCCCTCCCTTCGTAGCATCGTCGTCGTTATCATCATCAGCATTACTGGCCATCTTTCTCGAGATTGTAACAACAGTTTCATTGACATTGTTGTCAGTGGTAAACAAGGATGTTGTCACTGCAGCCATATTCGACGATGTATCGCTCTTTTCACTTGGACTTAACAACAACAATTTATCATTGCTACAAACTTTCTGCTCGCCAGACGTGCCAGCAACACAGCCCCGCTTGGCTTGGCTCTGGCCAATGTTGCTGGCCTCCTTTGATTCAGTTGGAACTTTTGTTGTTGATAAGCACTCATTGCTGTTGTCATCATTTGCTGTCGTTCTTTTCCCCTCCATTCTACCACTCTTGTCATTGTCGTTCTCCGCATAGTATGCTATTCGCTCCACAGATCCAACATACATTTCCATATCGGCCAAAAGTTTTACAACCCAATTCAAATAAATTGGCATCAATAGCGTGTAGTTTATGGCCAGGCCCACCAATGAGGGGGAGGGAGATAATGCCGAAGTCATTGTCGTTAACCAGACTGGGGATGAAGATGACGATGCATTAAAGGAAGCTGTCGATGCTGTCGTTGCTGACGATGATGACGATGGGTATCCAGCCTTCGTGGCATGTGGATGCGGATTGTGCGAGCTGTTGCATGCTATTGTTGCCGCCAATAAAGCTGTCACTATGGCCACAAATACAATGACACCACCCAGGTAATCCTGTTTGTAATTTTTGTTTTGTTGTTGTTATTGATGTTGTTGGTTTTATGACAGTTGTTGTGTCATCAAATGTAGCGTGAGTAACAAGCATTGATCGCAGAGGTAAATAAAAAAAGAAAAAAAAAAAGAAACAACAACAAGTTAGTAGTTTTATTTTATTATTAAAAATATATTTTATGCAAAAAAATTTTCAACAAAAAAAAATGGCTTCGACGAAAAAAGTTCGGAAAACTTGTATAATTTTCTTAATTGGTGATGGTTAAACAGGAAACATGACACCTCTATTGTTTCTCCATTTTTGAACAGAAACATGCCCGAAGGTGAACGTTGATGGGGTCACGATGTCAGTGAACTGAGGTCAATGAACTCCAAAAAGGCTGACGTAAATTGGAGGATATTCTGAGAATTGTGTTGTTATATTGTATAAACAAGCCAACAAAGTAACATCGTCATACAAAATTGAATTTTATATTTCATTAGCTGAATCCGGTGCGCTTCGCTACGCGTTTTGATTTTATACGCATTCGAATTTTTATAAACAAACCTTGTGAGGGTTTTACATAAATATAAAACAAATTCAGGAATATACAAGTTAAAAATCAGTGAGTTCGGCCGGGCCGACATTTCCAATATTAGGAACGAATTGTGGAAATAAAATTCTTAAAAAATTCTGTTAATACTTAAAAAAAAACGAATATAAGCGTTATATTGGTGTCAATACTATGTGGACCTACATAGGCATTGTTTGTCATAAGTCCAAATTCATATTCGAAACTTGAAATAAACGGCGAATAATGTAGCTAAAATCATCAAAATTTCGTTTATAGGGAGGTTCCGTTTTATCGAAGTTGTGCGAAGACCTGGACCAGCATAGACAATTTTCTGTCATAGGCTGTAGCATCCATTACCAACGACATCTCAAACAATTCGGTGGGTATTGTACCTAAACTCGACAAAAATACCGAATATAGGGAGGTACTGCTATATATGAGGCCTATACGAAGACCTGGACCTGCAAAGACAATTTTCTGTCACAGACAATAGTTACCATTACGAACTCTAAGTACGTAATTTGAAACAATTCCGGCGAATAATGACTCTAAAACAACAAAATACCGAATATAGGGAGGTACCGTTTTATGGGGGCTATACGAAGACGTGGACATGCACAGACAATTTTCTATCTTAGGCTGTAGTATCCATTACGAACTTCAAATGCGGAATTTCAAACAATTTCGGTTAATAATGTCGCTAAAATCATTAAAATACCGAATATCGGGGGGTACCGTTATATGGGGGCTATATGAAGACCTGGACCTGCACAGACAATTTTCTGTCACAGGCTGTAGTATTACGAACTTCAAATACCAATTTTGAAATAGTTCCGGTAAATAATATCTCCAAAATCATCAAAATACCTAATATCGCAAGGAAACGTTATAGGGTAAGTGTACTAGTAGTCGGCACTTTTAGAATTTTCGCGTTGTCAATCGTTCACCATTCTGAGCGGAACTTTTCAATTTTTACAAAATTAATTTATTCAGTTTCGAAATTTTGTACAGTTTTTGCAGTAATAAATACAGTTTTAATATCTTTTTATTAAATTTCATCAAAAGTATTAAAGTAATGCTTTATTGCCAGTAGTCGGCACCACTTGCCAATTGTCGGTATGACATGTTCCAACAGTCGGCAAACCGATTTTTTTATGAATAATTAATTATAATAATAAAATAATTTACTAAAATAGTATATTTTTGTTTAGATAAACTGATTCGACGACATTATTGCACATTTCTTAAGAATATGGATTGTCCCGTTTATGCTAAGAACTTCACAGAAAAATGTAATTTTTATTAGAAATTGTACACAAAGATAGCTGACATTATATTCGAAGCGAACAAAAATTTCTTTTTACATTTTTTTTCATTGATTTGAGCTTAAAAATTAAAAGTGCCGACTACTGAGACATGCCAAACTTAGGCACATTTACCCTATGTGGGCTATACGAAGACATGGCTCATTTTCTGTCTTTGGATATTACGTAATGGATATTACGAACTTCAAATACCAAATGTGAAACATTTTCGGTAAATATTGTCGCTAATATCATCAAAATACCACATATCAGGAGGTACCGTGATATGGGGACTATAGAAAGACGTGAACCTACCTGAACCATTTTCAATACCAAAAGTCCTGCAGACATAATATATATTTGAGTAAATTTTTATCAACTTACTTCATTTCGTTCGGAAGCTAGAGTGATTTCCACAGACGGACAGACGAACGGAAATAGCTAAATCGACATAGAATTTTATGCTGATCGAGAATATATATACTTTGTGGGGTCTAAAATGCATATTTCTAGGTGTTACAAACGGTGGAGGGTATAAAAACAATTTTTAGATAACGACTATCTGGCGAAGTGATATCGACGACCATACGACAAATGATCGATGACTCATCGACTTGTTGTCCACGTGTCATCACCACGTGTGATGTCGTTCCTATCAATTCCAATGAGTTATTAATGGGGTCTCAATGATATATCAGTAACAAATATTTAGACCTGACTAGTTATTGGCGAAATGTCGACTGCATAGCGATACGCAATAGACGATACAACTAACATTATTTAACGTAGAGTTTTAAAATTCGGCAGAACAATTTGTATTTTGTCTAGGATGGTTGGTATTGAAATTGAGATATATCGGTCCACTTTTTTTGTATAACCGCCATTTAAAAGGTACTTCCCGATATTCTGACCCTTTACGGTGAAGGTTTCAATATTGTCCATTTCGTATCTTACCTAAGACTGATAAAATATTGCAAGGTACCACGTGTATCCTTCCTTTACTTTATATGAATATCTGATAATTTCTGAAATATGTTCAAATGTGCGCCATGTACCATATACAGTGGGCCGAAATATTCCACTTCATCAGATACTGATAAAAGTATTGAAATGTGCAAAATTTGAAGAAAATCGAACACTTATTAAAAATTTCATTGCAATAATTGTTATCACATCAGATGTCGTTTTTGTATAACCGCCATTTAAAAGGTACTGCCCGATATTCAGTATTTTGATGATTTTGCCAAATTTTCTCCCGGATTCGTTCAAAAATTGATATTTGTAGGTCATAATGTGTTCATGCTCATGTGGCGGATCATAGTATGTATAGGTCCACGTTTTCGTATAGCCCCCATACAATGGTACCTCTGTATATACAGTGTTTTGATGATTTCCGTCTCATTGTTTCACATATCTGTGTAAAAATTGTTTTTGTAGGTCATAATGGGTTCTAGATCCGATGGTGAAACATTATATGCCTAGGTCTACGTTTTCGTATAGCCCCTTTATAGCGGTACCTCCTGGTATTCGGTATTTTGATGATTGTTGTTACATTTTCCCACGATTTGTGCAAAAATTGGTATTTGTAGTGCATTATGGGTTCTAGCTCCGGCGGCAGAACATTGAATATTTAAATCCACGTTTCCAAATTTATCCAAGAAATTATTTCAAATTTGTTATTTAAGAAGATTTGACACTTTTACTTTTACTTTTTACCAAATTTAGTACCATTTAGTTTTAGTACCATGGGGTAGATGACAATCCTTGAAGTAGAAAATTGTCTATAGAGATTCTCATTTTGGTATGGCCCCCATATAACGGCCTCATCCACTTTATGTTTTTTTTTTTTTTTTTTTTGAAAAATGGTGGAGGGCATTTAAAGTTCTGCCAAGCCGAACTTAGTTTTTTTTACTTGTTAACACTGCTTTCATAATCTGCTGCATTTTCCCCGTAATAAGATTTTGTGTCGCTCAGAGTAATATATTATATTCACATCTCTGACGACCGGTCTATATTTGAAAGACTAGTCATGTTCATTTTATGGGAAATAAAGAAATTCGACATATTTCACCTTAGAAAATTGCGGGAATGATTGTTCAACATATTAGTTGCGAAAGCCTTGTGCGTAACGTTTAATGAACTAAAAAATTAGCTTAAAAGCAGAAACTGTTCCTGCGATTGCTGAATATTTCCTATGAAACAACGGAATGTAATGCTAGTAATCACATTTGTGAGCACCTGCAAAAACGTAAAATGCTTTGAAGCCTCTTTAAACACCACCGTTAAATTACTCCATTTTTCCAGAACTTTTATCGCTTTGTGGGTGCTTTGTATGCGAACATACAAAGCATCCTCACAATCCAGTGGTAGAACGAAAAAACAAACAAACATAACAATACTTACCAGCGATATGCCCAACCAGCGATTGCTCGTATTGAGAATTGTGAATGCAATCGTATTTTCTTCCAATCGTCGAAATAATATTTCCGTGAAACGTGATTCCTGATTGTAGGCACGTATCGTGGTAACACCTTGTATCGTTTCGGATAGATGGGATATTACCGGTGTGTTGGTGGCATTCTCAATGCGCTGCAATTCCCTGCAAAATAAAAAAAATAAAACAATATTGAAGGCAATTTTGTTAGAGGAGAGATTTAAGAAAATTAAAGGGAAAAAATATTTTTTGAAATGGAATTTAAAAAAATCTAAAGTTACGGGAACAATGGATGGGGTAATAAGGGTCATTAACCACCTGGTAGAGAACATAGACACTTGACGTTTTATATGTTTATTCCCCCAATAACTAATCCATTTCCATATCCCAAAGAGGATATCACAACCGCAACATGTTTATGTCACAAGCCCCCATGCCCCGAGGGCATAAAACCCACATTTTTATGTAGAAATCCTCTCCTAAACAACATTCCCATATCTTTAAGAAGCCAAAGAAACATTTTAAGTAATTGTATTATCCTACATCCTTTTGATAGTTCCCCAAACAATCACAAAATTATAAAACTATTTCTGCTTGACTTTGTACACTTATGTTGTGAGCACCATGCTCCCGGGGCATTGGGATAACTTCTACTATGCCAGCAGCCGAGAAGAAGCTACTCCTAAGGAGTAGAATATTATTTACATATCCCGTGAAGTAAGAAGATATGGAGAGAGAACGAAAGAAAAAACCTAAGATGCAGTGGCATTTTTTTTTTTTTTGTTGTTGTACAATAATTTGTTTGTTCGAGTTTCTTACTCCCCTCCCACCAAAGGAGTTTCTTTGCGTGAATGTGTGTGTGTGTGTGTGTTACGACCACATGCAGCGGACAGCTGTTTATAGCAGAGAGAATACAATAAAATTCTAGAACAAACAACAAACAATACTCCAAGATGTTACTACACAACTATCAAGAATGTCACTCGGGGAGCTGTCAGCTTTCAAGCGTTGTTCCATCTTGTGAAGCATGCAGGGTAAATCTCTGAAATGTTTCTTAAACTTTGTTTATATCCTTTGCATTAAAGTATAAAGTGTATTCATTTTTAGATGCTGTTTGTAACTTCTCAAACGATTAAATTTAGATGCTAGCAATGCGTAACTCGGGGTTTGATTAATCTATAAGTTTGAGTCGAATTTTGATAGTGGTATAAATCGTAGTCAAATTTTTGTAACCGACTATGAGATCATCGAGTCGTGTCCAGTTTTTCACTTTTTCACCAAAAAGTCAAACAATCGATTTTGTCTTGCCGGAACATCTAAAATTGATTTTAAATGACTTTAGTTTGGAAAGTCAAAGTCTAATTTTGATTTTATACCATCCACCATAGTATGGAGGGTATATTAAGTTTGCCATTCCGTTTATAACACCTTGAAATACACATTTTAGACCCCACAAAGTTCTTGATTAGAACAATATTGGCATGTTTGTTTGGGATACCGTAGTATTTTGTTGTTGAAAATATCGTCAGGCTTAATCCCATTATTGTTGTTTTTATAAAACAACATTTATTTATTAGTGGAGAACGATGGTAATGTTTACCAGGGGGTAAGGGAGGGAATACCTATGTTTCGGAAAGAGCCACCAATCCTCATCAATTGCCTTGTTTTTTGCCTGGGATATTTTCCCCAGGTTTCCTGGTTCCTCTTCTATTGAGCTTACGATCTCGCCACTTGGGAAAAAAAAAGTTTTTTGTCATAGGAGTTATTTTAAAATAACTTCTGGGGAGAATATCCCAGGCAAAAAACTAGGAAACTGATGAGGATTGGCGGCTCTTTCCGAAACCTAGGTATTCCCTGCCTTACCCCCTGGTAAACATTACCATCGTTCTCCACTAATAAAAAAATGTTGTTGGGATTAAGCCTGCCGATTTTTGCAACAACAAAATATTCTTGATCAGCATAAAATTCTATGTCGATTTAGCGTCCGTCCGTCTATCCGTCTGTGGAAATCACTGTAGCTTCCGAACAAAATGAAGTAAGTTGATGTATTATGTATGCAGGACTTTTGGTATTGAAAATGGGCCATGTAGGTCCACGTTATGGTATAGCTCCCATGTAACGGTATCTCTGTATTTTGATGATTTTTGCGACATTTTTCACCGGAATTCTTTCAAATTTGGTATTTGATGTTCACAGTGGTTACTACAGCCTGTGACAGAAAATTGTCTGTACAGGTTCACGTCTTCGTATAGCCCCCATATAACTGTACCTCCCGATATTCGGTATTTTGATGATTTTAGCGACATTATTCCCCGATTTTTTTTTTCAAAATTGGTATTTGAAGTTAGTATGGATACTTCAGCCTGTGAAAGAAAATTGTGTATGCAGGTCCAGGTCTTCGTATAGGCCCCATATATCAGTACCTCCCTATATTCGGTATTTTGACGATTTTAGGTACAATACTCACCGAAATGGTTTGAGATGTCATATTTTAAGTTCGTAATGGATGCTCAGCCTGTGACAGAAAATTTTCTATGCAGGTCCAGGTCTTCGTATAGTTCCTATATAACGGTACCTCCCTATATATGGTGTTTTGATGATTTTAGCTACATTATTCATCGTTTATTTCAAGTTTCGAATTTGAATATGGTAATGGCTTATGACAAACAAAGCCTATGTAGGTTCACGTCGTAGAGACACCAATATAACGGCTAAATTCAACAGTATTTTTAAGGTTTTAACAGTATTTTTAACGGATTCTATTTTTTGCAAATTTCCAAATTCGTTCCAAATGGTGGAGGATATTCAAAGTTTGGCCCGGCCGAACTTACTGCTTTTTAACTTGTTTATTCCTCAACATTCTAATAAAAATTCTTTAAAAAGTTTTGTGTCCTATGGAAGTTATGTCTGAAATGTCCAAGTATAGACCCTTTAGAAAGGTACCTCCAGATATTCAGTATTTTAATGATTTTAGCCATATTTTTCAATTAAATTGTCACATTTTCATATATTCTCTATATAACAGAAATTTCTGACATTTTGTATTTTGATCATTTTTAAAATAATTGTTTATTCTCAATAATAAATGTTTATAGACATATTTTCAAAGATATCACATTCCAATCGGTGGAGGGTATTCAGAGTTTGACTCGCCTTTTTTCTTTTTTAAAATAATTAGCAATCTTGTCAGGAATTTCTTCATTTGATATGTTCTCTTTAATAACTATCAACTTGTTATAGCATGTTTCCATTGGAAACCGAACCACGTTGTTCGCTCTCAAAATTAGGTACACGAATTAACCCGTTCATAACATACGCTATTCTACATTGTAGTTTTCATTCATAAATTTCAGTCTTCCCAAAATTTTTCAAAATTTCATTAAATTTTTCTATTTTCAATTTTTAAATGTCATAATTAATTTTTTCGATAAATGCTCTCATTTGTTAAGGATGGGACATATTTTTTCGTTGTTCTGAGAGTGATTTGATTTGAACAATGTACAAATATGAGTGTTCGCTCAGAAAATTTTGTGTGAAGAATTAAGTAGTTTATTCATAGTTAAGGGTCAAACAACGAATAGAGAGCGAATCAAGTGCAGTGGAAACGCCACATTATTCGTTTATATGCAACCAACTTCAGACTGCTGTCATTTCTAAGTCACTCGCCCGACAGCTGTTAAAATTATTCCAGTGACAGCTCATTATATTGTTTACAAGCGCACAAAAACATTTTGGTGAGAATTTTCCAGAAAAATGTGATTCGTGATGGAATTCAAGCGTGATAGTGTGATTTCTTTATATTTGGCTGGAAAACCACAAGTGGCTATCGTTGAAGCACTGCAGCATTTAAATGTGAATAAATCTTTTGTTTCTCGTATCATCGCTCGTCAACGTGATACTGGTGGTAGCGTAGCCCGACGTCAAGGAAGTGGGAAATAAAAACATCAGCAGAAATGATTCGAAAAGTAAATAAGCAACTTGATCGAAACCCACGTCGCAGTTATCAAAAAAATGGCTCGGGAGCTGAACATAACGCAATATTCCATTCGGAAAATATTAAAAAATGAGTTCGGGGTAAAGCCATTGAAATTTCAAAGAAAGTGCAAGAACTTACACCGCAACAGAAAGAAAATAGACTCAAAAGAGCTAAAGAATTGCTTCGCTTGGCCGAAAGTGGTGAACTGCCGAATTTGGTTTTCTTCGATGAGAAAACATTCGTTGTCCGGCAGTTTGTAAACAAACAAAATGATCGGTTTTACTTGTCAAAGAGGTCAGCTGAAAATGTGCACCTTTGGTTGACTACCAGAACTCAAGCGCCGGCCATGGTCTCCGCTTGTATTAATCGACAGTGGCATCAGAATAAATGGCGAATATTATCGCGCCACCCAAGAATGATTACAAAATGAGGTTCCTCGCTTCATTTCCAGCGCACAATGGCCACCAAAATCGTCGGATACCAATCCGTTGGACTATTGTGTCTGGAATATTTTGGAAAGCAAGGTTGGCATTAAAAAAAAAACAAAGTGTCGATCACCTTAAGCAAGCGCTTTGCCGGGAATGGGCCATAATACCGCAGAGGAACATTCGGGCAGCGTGTTACGGTTTCATTGGCTGTTTAAATGCCATAATTCGTGCCAAATGTGACCAATTCGAACAAATCTAAACTAATTCTAAAAGTTGATGCTATTTCCGACATTTTTTTTCTTTCATTCAATAAAATTAAAAAGTAAAAATTTGACATTGTTGCATTTTTTTATCTCACCCTGTATAATGCTTGGTTCGGGTTACAATGAGACGGGCTTGCTATTGAATATTTTTGAATGATTTTCTGTTCACTGACTAATAAATTCGCAAATTGGGAATACCTTTTTCAGGACTAACTCTCATTAAGTTGAGTTGCCAGCAATTCATTTACACAGGGACTTCAGCTCGTTGTTCCGCGGAAGTTTCGACTCACTGTTCCGCACGAGCTTCGGCTCGTCATACCGTACCGTAGTGCTAGCTAGAATATTTTCCTAGCTATTGTAGACAACCAAAATAGCTAAATCCGAAAATACCCACAGTGGACTGCCAAACCCGAACGAGTTCCGATCCATCTGCAAAGGCTTAGACATCGACTGCTGAACATACCCTCAGCAAGCTGGCGTACCCGAAGGAGTCCCGATCCATATGCGAAGTCCTGGACAGCTGCTCCACAGTGTCTTGCCGAACTAGAACGAATCCCGATCCATCTCAGAAGACCTGAACAGCTGATCCCGAGTATCTCTACCCGGAACTGCCATCCCCTAACGATTATACCATGAGTCCCCAATCCGTCTCCGAAGACCTTGGACATCCACATCCCAACCCCGATTACCTCCCACTCGCCAGCCAGAAATTCACATTCACTGAGGTTCCGTAATATGCACTCTGTTACAACAATATTTTGGGAAATATATCAAATACAGCCCAGAAATACATGTGCCAAATTTTATCGAGATCGGGTCAGATTTGGATATAGCTCCCATATATAACTTCGTCCGATTTACCTTATATTGTGCACCAAACGTCTAATATTTGTCCAAATAGGATGGAATTTGGCACCTAGGATCGAATTTAGTCTAGAAGGTAGTATGTCAAATTTGGTGAAGATCGGTTCAGATATAGCTATAGCTCCCATATATATTGTTCATCCGATTTGTTGTATTTGTTACCCACAGCCGTAATATGCCCTCCGTAACAACAATATTTGGGGAAATATATCAAAAACAGCTCAGAAATATCTTTGCCAAATTTTATCGAGATCGGTTCAGATTTGGATATAGCTCCCATATATATCTTTATCGGATTTCAAATTAATTTTGCACCAAATGGGCAATACAAGTCCGAATTTAAAAGATACAAATGCTTCGGCATATTTAGTCCTTTGAACTTTAAATTATAATTATAATCATAACGTGTATGATTGAATTCTCCCATAAAAACTTTTAATTGTTATGCGGAGCTCTACTAAATTAGCAAAGTGGTGTAGGGTATCATAATGTCGGCCCCGCCCGTCTTTAAGACTTTCTTTACTGGTTATGACTTGCTTGCATTTTGGTTTTACACATTTTTGGATAGTACATATGGTAATTGATAAAACAAGTTCGATGTGACCTAAACTTAATGTTGTTTTAGTTTGATTTGTAGTTATTTTCCAAGCTCCTTAAAAAAAGTAATTTTCAATGCATAATGTGGGCTAAGATCAGCGAGTAGCGTGTAGGGTATTGCACTAACCTTCTCATACAGTTTTAGAAGATATTCTTTTTTGCTTAGAAATGCTAAAAAGAGATGGAGGAGAACATGAAATGCATGGAAGTCGAGTCGAGTTAAATAATAAAAGTGCCTTTTGTGGTCGATTTGCTTGGTTGCTGTTACACATTAACATTTCCAAATGCCATTCAATTCCATTCCATTCCATTTCATTTTTTTTTTTTGCTTTTTTTTTTATTTTTTTGTTTGTATTTTGATAAAATATTCTGAGATTTTTCAGTACAATATCAGTTTTTTATTCCGAAATATATTCAGTTTTTCATTCCGAAATATTCATCTGAGACCTCATATCTTAACAATTTTTTTACAAAATTACAAATTAAATTTCTGCAACAAACGACCACAAATATCTTCCAACTTTTCTGACCAGCAAAAAAGATGATACAATTTTGTAATTTTATTTCTGTCCTGACATCATCGTTAATTAAAATCACATTTCATAAATATCCCCGTCGAAACCAAACAAAAAAATATGTATTTCCTTAATAAGAAAAATAACGTGGAGTACGTGTAATAAGTCGTTATTTAAACAAAAACAAAAGTCGCAAAAGTTTTAAATGCAACATCAGTCCCGCCACAGCCACCATAAAACTTTGTTTCCTTCAAAAGAGAAATATAGTGTTTTTTGTGCGTGACAGTGTTGCGTTCTTTTTCTCCTCTCGCTGCTCCACCACCCACACAAACACACACTTGCATATACTCAATCTTTTCGGATATATCACCCGAATGTATGGGCAAAGTTTCCAATACCGCAAAACAAACAATGATGAAGTCGTTGACGTTGGCGAATGGTTGGTTGGTTGGTTGGTTCGTTCGTTCGTCTGTCAAAAACATGAAAAAATCCAAAATTGTTTAACACAGCAACAAATTTAAAATTCATACTTGTCGAGTTACAACTAATAATACTCAAACGAGTGGTTTTCTTTTTTTTGCCAAACTTCAATGAAACTTCTTAGCCTTCTGCCCGTCCCTAACTTTTTTTGAAGTCTTGCAAACACCCCCTCCGGTTGTGTTAATTTGTACGTCATAGAAATTTTTGTCAAAACAGAAAACCCCAAAAATTATTCAGTGCGTGTTGGGTAACATTTGCGCACAACTTATATCCGTTTCCTGTTTCTGACAAAAGGCACCATGGTGGGACGTTGATCAAATCAGACACAAAATGGGGAAAATGACGTAGAACAAAAAAAAAAAGGATAGAAAAAACGTGTCTAAACTAAATTTGTTAACTGCAAAACAATTAAGGTAAACGAATTGGTGACGGAGGGGACTTTAAAGGAATGTTGGTGAAAAAAAGTGCGGAACGAGTTGCAGTTTTAAAAAGCTAAGACATAGAGTAGGACATTCTCTCCTCCTTATTCTAAGACATAGAGTAGGTGATGACCTCCATCATCATCCTCTTATCCATACAATAGATGATGACCTCCGTGGTCATGCTTTTCTCCAAAGAGTAGATGATGATAACCTCCGAGGTCATCCTCTTCTCCATTGAGTAGATGATGATGACCTCCGAGGTCATCCTCTTCTCCATTGAGTAGATGATGATGACCTCCGAGGTCATCCTCTTCTCCATAGAGTAGATGATGGTGACCTCCGGGGTCATCATCCTCTTCTCCATAGAGTAGATGATGATGAAATCCAAGGTCAACCTCTTCTCCATAGAGTAGATGATGATGACATCCGGGGTCATCATCCTCTTCTCCAAAGAGTAGATGATGGTGACCTCCGGAGTCATTATCCTCTTCTCCATGAAGTAGATGATGGTGACCTTCTGGGTCATCATCTTCTTCTCCGTAGTGTAGATAATGACCTCCGGGGTCATCTTCTGCTCCATAGTGTAGATAATGACTTCGGTCATCTTCTTCTCCATAGAGTAGATGATGACCTCCGCGGTCATCTTCTTCTCCATAGAGTAGATGATAACCTCCGCGGTCATCTTCTTCTCCACAGAGTAGATGATGACCTCCGGGGTCATCCTCTTCTCCATAGAGTAGATGATGACCTCCGGGGTCATCCTCTTCTCCATAGAGTAGATGATGACCTCCGGGGTCATCCTCTTCTCCATAGAGTAGATGATGACCTCCGCGGTCATCTTCTTCTCCATAGAGTAGATGATGACCTCAGCGGTCATCTTCTTCTCCATAGAGTAGATGATGACCTCAGCGGTCAGGAAGACCCCCCGGGGTCATCTTCTTCTCCATAGAGTAGATGATGATGACCCCCCGGGGTCATCTTCTTCTCCATAGAGTAGATGATGATGACCCCCCGGGGTCATCTTCTTCTCCATAGAGTAGATGATGATGACCCCCCGGTGTCATCCCATCCCATCCAAACTTCCCATTGATTTTCAAACACTTACCTCGACGAACAACGGTAGAACTTCTGTATGACATAGTAGGCCAGACATACTGGCACCGTGACCACCAGAAACCAGGGAGTGATGATGATATTGATTAGAATGGCACACACGCACAACAAGGTGAACTGTAGCAATCGTTGACTTGTGGCCGCGATTTTCTGAAATCATGAAGAAATATGAATTAAAACACACGAACACACCTTTACAATGTTAAATTCAAAGTCTAGAATCCTGAATTCAACAATTCAACGGAGAAACAAATGAAGGTTGTAAATTTCAACTGGTCTTCCGACCATAAAAACACCACCACCAACACATCTACCGACCTACCTTATCAATGATGGCCATATCGTTACTGAAGCGATTCATGATGCGACCCAGCGGCGTGACCTGGAAGAAATGCAGCGATTTGTGCATAATTGACTGCAGAAGTTTATCATGTAAATTGCGACGGGCTTTACAACCGGCCCATTGGCCGGCCGGTGTCGATATCATGGCCATGACTATGCATACGCAGGATATTATGGCATAAATGTGGAAATAATACGTGACTTCGTGATGCATCCTGCCGCTGGACGAGAACGAGGACGAAGGGCCAAAAAGCAGATTTTCCATATCACCGGCGGTGGGGCTGGTGGCCTGGCCGGTTGTTGCATAATTGTGGACACCCATTTGTTGCATTGCGGATATATTTACGGATGTTATCGCTTTATGTTGCAGCAGCATTGCACCACTACCAGCGATAGCTCCAGCCGCTGCAGCTGCAGCAGCGCCAGCAGTGGGCTTATTGTCATCGGTCCATTGTTGTAGCCAAACATCCGTGTACACGCGCAATGTTTGCCAAATTAGGGCCGTGATGAAAAATATTAAAACAATTGCGTAACCAGATGCACGCACATACAGCAAATAGATTTCCGCCGGTATTTTACCATATTTTCGTTCAACATCGTAATTTGTTGTCGTCGTTGTTGGTTTCTCCTTGTTGTTGTTGTTATTGTTGTTTCGCTGTTGTTGTAACAACTGCCCGGCTGAGGATAATTCGGTAGTTGAATTGGGCATTTCAGTTGTGGCTTTTGTTACTACATCACCCTGAGTGGTAACATCGGTGGCCGTTGTGTTGTTGTGGCCACCACTTGTCGTTGTAACTCCGGTATTGTCGACATGATTTTCCACGAGATTTCCATTGTTTGCCAACAAAGTTTTATAGTCAATATTGGCATCTGCAAAAAAAAAAAAAAGAACGAAGATGGCGAACAAGTATGTTAATATTTAAAATAATTTTACTTAAAAAATCTTAATATTTAAAAAAACAAGTAAAGAAAGTCTTAAAATCGGGCGGGGCCGACTTTATGATACCCTACACCTATTAGCTAATTTAGTAGATCTCCACATAACAATTAAACGTTTTTATGGGAGAATTCAATCATACACGCTATGATTATAATTATAAATTAAAGTTCAAAGGACTAAATATGCCGAAGCATTTGTATCTTTTAAATTCGGAATTGTATTGCCCATTTGGAGCACAATTAATTTGAAATCGGATAAAAATATATATGGGAGCTATATTCAAATCTGAACCGATCTCGATAAAATTTGGCAAAGATATTTCTGAGCTGTATTTCATATATTTCGCTGAATATCGTTGTTACGGAGTGCATATTACGGCTGTGGGTAACAAATATAACAAATCGGATGAACAATATATATGGGAGCTATAGCTATATCTGAACCGATCGTCACCTAATTTGGCATACTAGCTTCTAATCTCAATTCGGTCGCATGTGCCAAATTCCATGCCATTTGGTCAAATATTAGACGTTTGGTGTACAATAAAAAGTAAATCGGACGAAGTTATATATGGGAGCTATATCCAAAACTGAACCGATCTCGATAAAATTTAGCAAAGGTATTTCTGAGCTGCATTTGATATATTTCCCTAAATATTGTTGTTACAGAGTGCATATTACGGCTGCGGAGGACATAAATAACAAATCGGATGAACAATATATATAGCTATATCTCAACCGATTTCGATCAAATTTGGCATACTTATTTTCCGGCCTAATTTGGGTGTATATGCAAAATTCCATACAATTCCATATATCTAAATTTTGACCGATTATCTCCAATTTCAATAGGGTTCGTCCTTGAGCCAAACAAATGATCTGTGCAAAATTTCATCTGGATCGGGCAATGAATGCGACCTGTACATGGACAGACGGACGGACGGACATGCATAAATCGACTTAGAATGTGGTTCTATGCAGATCATCAAAGGGAACTATGGGTCTATCTCGTTTCCTTTTGCCTGTTACAAACAAATGCACAAAGACATAATACCCCGACCACCTTGTGGTGTAGGGTATAAAAAATAGGTCTTCTATTTAAAAGAGGGCGAAAATAGTTTTCGAAAACTGTTACTAAAACATACTAAAAGGGGGCGTCCCTTTACAATTTTAGGCCAGAACCTTGCATGAAGAGGGTGGAGACATCAGATAGATTATTGCTAAATAAATAAGCAGTCAGAGCTACATATTGAATAAAGTTATATGAGCCGGTGTTAACATATCTTCCGAATTTTAATTTAAGAAGTGGCCCGCTTTGGATAATAAAAAAAGGTATAAATTTTACTAAATGTGTAAGAGTTTAACTAGATTTCTTAAAATTGGCATAAGAGGCCCCAATGGGGTAAAACGGCGACATAAGGCAATGTTTTTTGGGAATTCGTACCTAAAGGCTACAAAAAGTACAAAATGTCATTCAAAAGGTTCAGCACTGATCCAAAACGAGAGAGTTGAGATAAAATAGATTTTTTTTTTAATTCCCCCTTAAGGGTATGAGAATTGCCAAGATATACGAAATGTTTCACTGTTATGTTCAATATCGAATAAAGTTTTAAATAAACTGGCGATTCTTTATGCCCTCAGGCATTGACTACAGATTGTAACATTTTATACGGTCAAAACGACATTCATGGAAATTGCGGGTTTAGACTCCAAGTCTCTTTGGACGAAATCCATTTCAAAACATTTGAAGTCGATCTCGGGATGCCCGTCTGTTTGTCTCGCTGTCTGGTTCATAAGCACCATTACATTCGAAGGGAGTAGTCAATTTCATCCAAATTTTGTACATCGTAATATTACTATCAGAATTAGATCGAGTTCGGAGATGGACAGCATCGGTTCACTCCGTCTTGTCCCGTCCCCACAGTAAAATTTAAAGTTTTAAAGAAAGTAACTCACATTTTGTTCAAACTTTGTAAATCCTAAAATTTGTACCAAAGCTAAGTTAGGTGCAAACAAGTTAAAAAGCAGAAAGTTCGGCCGGGCCGAACTTTGAATACCCTCCACCATTTGGAACGAATTTGGAAATAAAATCCTGAAAAAAACTTTGTTAAAATGTTAAAAATACCGAATATTGCCGTTATATCGGTGTCTATACGACGTGGACACACACAGGCATTTTTTGTCATAATTCATTACCAAATTTAAATTCGGAACTTGAAATAAACGGTGAATAATGAATGAATAGCTAAAATCATCAAAATAAAGAATATAGAGAGGTACCGTTATATCGGACCTGAACCTGCGTAGACAATTTTTGTCATAGGCCATTACGAACTGCAAATACGGCATTTCAAACAATTTCGATGAGTATTGTACCTAAACTCATCAAAACACCGAATATAGGGAGGTACTGGTATATGGGGCCTATACGAAGACCAGGACCTGCAGAGACAATTTTCTGTCACAGACTGGAGTTTCCATAACGAACTCTATTGAGGTACTGGTATATAGGGGCTATACGAAGACGTGGACCTGCACAGACAATTTCGAACTTCAAATACCAAAGTTTGAACAATTCCGGTGAATAATGTCGCTAAAATCATCAAAATACCGAATATCGGGAGGTACCGTTATATGGGGGCTATATGAAAACGTAGACCTACATGGCCCATTTACGAACTTAACCTGCCTACTGTAAAAATAAACATGTGTGCAAAATTTTAGCCTTGTATCTCAACTCGTTCGAAAGATAGCGTGATTACAACAGACAGACAGACGGACATCGCTAAATCGACTTAGAATTTTACGCTGATCAAGAATATATGTACTTTATTGGGTCTGACATCAGTATTTCGAGGAGTTACAAACAGAATGACAAAGTTAATATACCCTCCATAGTATGGTGGAGGGTATAAAATGGACAATATCGACATACTCATTCTTGAATAGTTACAACCCTTATAAAATTTGAAAGGAAAGTTAAGTCGTCTTAAAATTTTGCATATCCCAAAATGTCTACCAACGATAGGTACTAGATATATCGTTAATGTCGGAATACTCCTTCTGGTACCTCCCTTTCAAAGCGATATGCCGAAATTCCGAAAATGCGTAATTCGTACCACAAATGTTTTCTTCCACCCTACGATTTCTATGTGGTTGTAAAACTGACTTTTTAAACCGTCAGGCCAAAATGTGCCTCATCGAAATAACGTTTTAGACCCTAGGTCTTTTTGGACCAAATACGTTTGTGGACATTTGGAGTCGATCTAGCGATGTCAGCCCGTCTGTCTGTCTGGTGCGCACGATAACTTTCGAAGGGAGTATCTGATATGGTCCAAACTTGGTACATCGTAATATTGTCATCAAAAATAGATCGGTTTTGAAGATGGGCAATATCGGCCCACTTCTTCTGGTAGCTCACCAACAGAAGGTGGGGGGATCTCCTTTGCTCATCAAGGTCTCGAAACGAATAACCATTTCTGATTCTGCACCAAGGACAAGTACCATTAGCCTTAACGTATGCATATTTAGTAGAGCTCCCGTAACAAAAGAATGTATTTGAAGTAGATCATACCACCTTTCATCATTTGGCATTAAGGCAGTTATAATTTGGTTTCAGAGGGAACTAATATATGGTATGCATATTCAATTCTGAGTCGATTTTCACTAAATTTGAGACAGAGACATTTTTATCTTTTGTACCAAATAATATTGCTAAATAGTGTAGGATATCACTTCGATGAGGATTATGTTTAAAAAATGTATAATGTATTATATGTATATTAGCCATTATTGCAGAATAAAGCTTAAATCGGATTAAGAATATATATGGGAGCTATATCCACATTTTAGCCGATCTAGATAAAATTTGGCAAATGTTATTAAAATTGGGCATAGGTATTATCTCTATAAGATATCTGGTACCAAATATCATTTTTGTGGAGTACATATAACGAATGTGAGGGACTTAAAGACCAAATCGGATGAAACATATATATGGGAGCTATAGTTATATCTGAACCTATTTTCAAAACATTTGGTGTTTTTGCTTCTAGACTGAATTTGGACGAATATGCCAAAATTCCGGTTATTTGGGCTGATATTTGGTCATTTGGTGCACAATTAACCCGAAATCGGTTAAAGATATATATGGGAGCTATGTCCAAATCGGAACCCAACTTGATAAAATTTGGCAAAGGCATATCTGGGCTGTATCTGATATCTGGTACCAAATATCATGCTTGTGGTGTACATATTACGAATGTGAGGGACTTAAAGACCAAATTGGATGAAACATGTATGTGGGAGCTATAGCTATATCTGTACCGACATTCACCAAGCAATTGCTTTTAGACTGAATTCGGTCAGATGTGCCAAAATTCAGGTCATTATACCGATATTGGCCATTTTGTGCACAATTAACCCAAAATATGTTGAAGATATATACAGGGTGAGACAAACAAAGTCAAACGCCATAATTTTTACATTTTTTTTTAAATTTTATTGAATGAAAGCAAAAAAATGTCGGAAATACCATCAAATTTTAGAATAAGTTTAGATTTGTTCGAATTGGTCACTTTTGACACGAATTATGGCCAATGAAACCGTCACACGCTGCCCGAATGTAGCTCTGCGGTATTTTTGCCCATTCCCGGCGAAGCGCTTGCTTGAGGTCATCGACACTTTGGTATTTTTACGTGCCAAACTTGCATTTTTTTCTGAGTTTGGCAGAATTCTGCCAACTTTGTGTTTGTATTTACTGTTTTGAAAAATAAAAACAAAGCATTTTCAAAATCAATGATTGGAAGAAATGAGTATTGCGAGGGGTGCATTTAAGCTTTTTACCATTTTTGCCATGATATTGAAATATTAAACACTTTGGATAATATTTTTGAAAGGGTTTTCACTCATTTTTTACGCTGTCTAACTCATTTTAAAAATATTCTATATTCTGAATAAATCTGATAGGAAGCCTCAAGCTCAGGGCTGTAATTCAGTAGTTTTAGGAGCCCGTTTTCACATCATCATTGTACCACGAATACACGAGTCTACCTCTACTTCCATAATCTACTTGATTTTTTCCTGTGTTATTTTTTGTGCTGTACAGTGTAATTGGAAGAATACCCGTTTCTACGTTTACTACATCTTGAGTTGTTGTCGTGGATACACTTAGTTCTGGCTGTAATAAGCTCCCAATCCTTTTTGAAATGTCTAGATTTTTGTTGACCCTTATACAATATATCAAATATGACTTCACCCGGCCCATGCCTCCTCCATATCAACGTTACCGAAGTCCCCTAATGGCTATCAATATTTATTTATTTGTTATATTCCCTTCGTTTTCAATTATTCGACTACGTTCTTGCAACAATGCAATACTCACTCCTCTTCCAACTTCAATTCAATTAAAAATTCGGATTGGAATCAATTCAATTTGGGTGCAAAATATATATTTTTGCCTCAATACCACCTGCCAAGGGATATTATCGAACATCAGTTATCATTAGTGCTTAATAAACACCTTTTGTTCGTACAATTGATAATAATCAATGGAGAAAGTTTTTAGTTTAGGGAAGAAAAACTTTATAGTCCCATGCAGGTGGAGAGGGATGGTGGGGGCAGGCAGACAGCCAGCCAGCCAGCCACAGGCAACTGCCAACACATACCAACGAACCCAAACCCTGTAAGATGGCAATGATGATAGCAATGTCGGCAGTGGATTATGACTTTTCCCACAGTGCATTCATTCATTCATTCTATTTTCCAGAGTCTAGGCATCCATGTAGGTTAGCTGTTCGCATGTGTAAGTCTGAATGTGTGTGTGTGTGTGAATACATTACTACATACATACCTTGAATGGATTCCTCATTTTCAATACCGGCAATCCAACTTTCCGTCTCCGTTTCAGTTGCATCCGTTAACACCGAACTCAATTCAATGGATGGCACTGATGAACCAGCCATGCCAGACGATTCCTCGGAGATGCTCCTGTAGGTGGCCGGCCAGCCAGGATGTGATGTGCGAATGGATGAGTGAAAGAAAATGAATTGTTATTGGTATTTTTATAGAAGAGTAAACTATAAATTGCAATTGTATATCATTTCGTACAGAGAGGGGGAGAGAGATCCAAGCCAGATGGATGGATAAGGATGAAGCTCTTAAGTATTGACATGGCCGGATGGCAATGACGTTGATGACGTTTTCAAGTGATGGAATTAAAAGTAAATTTCATTACATTGTTGGCATAACAAAAGCCAGCTGGGATGAAGGCATGGTAGGAGACTACTAGGCTACATAAACAATACTTACACAATGGCTGTATCTCCACTACCAGGTCTGGGTTTGTGATGTGCCACCTGGGCAATAGCTTTCGATTTGTTCGATCTACGCATGGTCATACGTCGTAGGAATTGCTGGAATCCATTACCCGTTTCCAAACTCTGTTCATGTGAATCCGTTACATCACGAGCCTCCGTGCTGTCCTCGAAGGTCGGTGGTGCTGAAATATTCTTTGTCAGCGGTTGGTGTTTATGCATCGGTGCACTGGGTTGCCAAGATTGAGTGCGCGACGGAGCCTCTTCACTGCTACTTAAATTTGTCATATAACTGACAGCACTACCAACGCTATCGGTGAGGAGACTTCTGCGTAACTCTGTTGGTGTATTACTAATGTTGCTAAGGCGACTAGAGGTGCGCGAACTGGGCCGATGACCGCTACGAAATGTGTCATTTCCGGTACGACGTCTACGCCGCAATGGTACACCTTCGAGTTGGCATTCATCAAGGGGAAGTGGGACATCGTAGATTAGATGGCGGGAGCTATAGAAGCCAGATGGTGTGCGAGACAGTTTGAAGCCGGAATTGCAAGCCATCGAGGAGGTCTGAAAAATGAGTGGAATTAAATAAAATTTCAAAATTGTATTAAAATATACGAGCTCTTTAAAAAAAATACATCGAAACGGGGCCTACTACTGCATTCGTATGGTACATTTAAATCCAATGAGAACCCACAACATAATACTGTGATATAGGAGATATCAAGGGTACTGAAGTGTAGTGGACGTTTATTACAAATTTGGCGACAAAAACATTTATATCCTCAAAATGTTTGTAAAACCCTCAAAATTCCTTATATCGACAGTGTGTATGGGAGCGATGTGCCGTAGTGAATCAGTTAAACGTCTGTTCAAATAAGAGATAATTTAGTAGAAGGACGAGAATCAATATCTACTATTTTTAATATCATCTTTTATATACAGATATAAACAAGTAGTTAAATAATTGACTGACTGACTGACCGAGAATCCACACCCAAACGAAACGGCTGAAGCTAGAATCTTGAAAATTTTCCCTAGGGTTAAGGCATGGGTATATAAGCAGGTTGAAGTCTTCCTTTGGCATATCATGAAGGGATGAAAGAGCAGCGCACGAAACCTGACGTCGTTTTTCCTTATAACTTGACATTAATATGCTTAGCCATGAAGCCAAGCTGCTTTTATATCCATGCCTTTATTCTTGGTTCATAAGCGTGTGATGAGGCTGGGTTCTTGTACTCGTATTAAAAGGGTACAAAGAGTAGTAAAATGTACTAAAAATGTAATACTTTGTGTTAGACAAGCGGAATTGCAGCTCATTCTGAAATTTGGAATGATGGAGTTCAGAATGGATGTACCAAAGGGTTTTTTTTTTTTTTGAAAGGTTACAAAAAGTTTTAAAATGGTACTAAACTTCTAAATTGGTACCATTTGGTACTATATGAACATGTAGAACTAAAACAAGTAAGCAAAGGCTATAGTCGTGCGGGGCCGATCATGTGATACCCTACAACACTACAATATGGTAGAAGCCCCCTTATGTCCAAATCCTTTTGGAATATTTAGCTTTTGAAATTATGTCATGGAGCACTGCCCAGATATTAATCTTAGCGTTTTGACTAGGGACATTTAGCCAATATTTACGCACTCCATCGTGCCGTTAGTTGTTGTGGTCCATTTCACAGCTACATATACCAATGGTTATCCAAAATTCTAGAATTCTTCCCTGTTCTTAACTCTCTTCAATTGTGCGAGCAGGAAATTTTTTCTATTTTTGGTTTATTTGAACCCCTAAATATTTTGCGATTAACGCCAAAAGCAAGAGGCCCCTCTATATCACGAAATTTAAACTCATCTATACGATTTGCTTGTCTACGATATTTGGCTTTATTCATCAACGAAATCAGCATAAAAAAGCCAGAAGTCCACCTTTTGTGTATTTCGGATATCGCCTGTAATTAATGTTGGTATTTTTACTCACAACATAACTTCATGCGAGATTCCCTTCGGATGCAATTTATTAAATTTTTAACGGCTAAAATATCAGACACATTTTTAGTTGTTGGTCCTATTCAACCCCTAAATATATCGCGGACATCTTGGAAAACAATAGGCCTAGCCCTTCTGAACCTAACATTACCCTTTTTCTTGAGGATTATTGCAATCTGTATATAATAACCCCAACCTGTGTTGTAAAATAAAAAAAAATATTACAAAATGTACAATTCAATATTATAAGTCAAATTGAAAAAATCGCATGCGATAAAATATATTAAACAAGTAAGCAAAGGCTACAGTCGAGCGGGGCCGACCGTTGAATACCCTAAAACACTATAATAAATGATACAGTTTATATAGGCCAGATACTCGAACGAATTCCACAAGATATTGTGACAAATAATAAAAGAAAACCATCAGGTTTCGTTCTTTAATTTTCGAATAATAGAAACTTGAACTAATTTGCTCATTTCCAATTTATTGGTAGATGTTGCACGTAAATGGTCTTCCTAGATCTGGAACCAATATTTCCCAAAGACCTATAATCTCTCAGAAGTGGCAAACGATTAACATTTATTATTGGTTTTTGACTGAAACGCATCTATATGAGATACAGACATTTGACAATATTCTTCAACGAAATAGTCAGAAGTGCGTCTTTCCTGTATTTGTGAATTCTCCAAAAAGTCACTGGAATGGACATTTTCATAGTTAGTCTACAAAAGTTGGCAAACTATTTCACACATTGAATATTTCTGGATGGCCATCCGAAACTGCTTGGCTTTTGCAATGTGCGGTAACCCCCATTCAAATGTGCGTGAGGATCGGGCGATAATTACGATCTACTGACAATTTTGCAGTTTCTTGGTCCATTTCAACCCCTAAATATATGACGATCATCTCCAAAAAGAGTAGGCTTTTATTCTGACCCTCATCTTATCCCCATGCAAAGTTTCGTAAGGATCGGGCCATAAATGCGATCTGTATATGATATCCTGATATCCTAACTACTTAGTTTTGTTAGCTGTAGAAATATTACCAAATGTTTAATTCAAAATGAAAATATGCCAAAAATATGACAAAATTGAAAAAATATGAGAAAATGTTTCAAAACCAATATTTCCATCTTTAGAGAGATATTTTTATGCGATTTTTTAGACGTTTTTTCTTTCCTGCCAAGAGGCCATTCTGAATTAATGAGAACTGTCGAAATCAGTTCAGCCGTTCTCGACATATAAGAGATTTTTCATGCATATCCTCTTTCAAAGACATATATATCGCACATATTTTGCTATATATCCGATTTGTTGGATGTTAACATCAATGTAAAGGTCAGAAGTAACCTTGTCATGGCTTTGTGATTTCGCCGGGATTTAAAATATTCGCGGTTTAATGGAAAATTTTAATTTTTTTTCAACACAAAAGATATGGTCTATTTTACCCGCTAAATATTATCCGATGACCACCCAAATTGGTAGGCTTCTTCCCCGCCCTAAACTCTAGCTACATGCGAAATTCCGTCGATTGGTCCATTTCAACCCCTAAATATCGTGCGATCATCTCCAAAAACAATAGGGTTCTATTCTGACCCTAACCCCACCTCCATTTTCAATTTCGTGAGGATCGGTTCATAATTGCGACCTGTAGCTTGATAACAAATTAACATGGACAGACGGACAGACGGACAGACGGACGGACGGACATACATAGCTAGATCGACTTAGCTCGGCGAGCTAGGAAGACCCATATATACTTTCCTATGTGGGAAACCAATATTTCGAGGTGTTACATAATTTTTGGCCCAATCGAATTTATAATACCCCCAACACATAGTGTTGTAGGGTATAAAAACTAAAATTGGTGTGAGAATCAAGGTTGAAAAGTAAGTTTCATATATGAAGGTGGTTTTGGAAATGTGTACTAATTATGCGAACTATTCTAAATGGTACTAAATTTGGAACCGTTTGGTTTAGGGTGAACGAAAGAAGCTGGCAACGTACAATTTGTAGACATTGCGGTGTCTGTTGTTGATATGTGTGTATGTGATAAAGAGGTAGTTTTCGAAATGCGTACTAGAAGTACAAGAAAAGTACTAAATTGTACTGTTTTGGTACAATGTGGTGTTAAGTTAAATCTAGCTTGAAATCTAAACTTTGGTATTGATGTCGCTGTTCACGTGTAGCCTGGACATATGGAGGTGGTTACGGTAATGTATCTACAATTGTACGAAAAGTACCAACATGTACCAAATTTGGTTTCGGTTGAAGGGATATAAATACAATTCTGAAATTTGACATTTAAATTACTGATGGTATCTGTGTTGGAGGTTTGGCGGTGTTTTGGAAATGCGTCCATGTTTGTATGGAATCCAAAAATTAAGTTCGGCCGGGCCGAACTTTCAATACCCTTCACCTTAGGGTAATACCAATTTTAAGACATATTCGTGGGAAAATGTGGCAAAAATAATCAAGGTATCGAATATCAGGAGGTACCGCTATATGGGGGCTATACCAAACGCTATAACTATGACAAACAAATTTTTAGACAAATCCATGAAAAAATACGGCAAAAAATCATCAAAATACCGAATATCGGGAGGTACCGTTATCATCGAAGAAAACCAAATTCGGCAGTTCACCACTTTCGGCCAAGCGAAGCAACTCTTTAGCTCTTTTGAGTCCATTTTCTTTCCGTTGCGGTGTAAGAGCTCATTTTTAAATATTTGCCGAATTTAATATTGCGACATGCTCAGCTCACGAGCCACTGCTACGCGGGTTTCGATCAAGTCGCTTCTTTACTTTTCAAAACATTTCTGATGAAGTTGCTGTCTTATTCGGTCCACTTCCTTGACGTCGGGCTACGCTACCAGTATAACGGTAACGGGCGATGGTACGAGACGCAAAAGATTTATTCACATTTAAATGCTGGAGTGCTCTAACGATAGCCACTTGTACTTTTCCAGCCAAATATAAAGAAATCGCACTATCACGCATGAATTCCATCACGAATAACTTTTTCTATGAAAATTCTCACCAAAATACTTTTTTACGCTTGTAAACAATATAATGAGCGGTCACAGGAATAATTTTAACAGCTGTCGGATGAGTGGCTTAGAAATGACAGCAGTCTGAAGTTGGTTGCAGTTTTTTCATCTCACCCTGTAGATATGAAATCAAGAAATGTGATATTGATGTAACTGCTGGTGTCTGTGTATAAGATATGGAGGTGGTTTTGGAAATGTGTGCCATAAATGTACAAAATAGTACTAAATTTGATAAAGGGGGAAAATAAAAACCTGCAATCCCGCAATTGGATATTAAAGTCACTATTGGTATCTGATGTTAAAATATGAAGTTGGTTTCGGAAAAGTGTACTATAATTGTACGAAATGTACTGAATGGTACTATATTTAATATTTGTTGAAGGGTAGAGCTAAATCCTAAAATTTGATGTATAAATTACCGATTGCATCTCTGTTTGTGATTTGGCGGTTGTTTGAAAATGAGTCCTATATTTGTACAAATCTACTAAATAGTACTTAAACTGGTATTGGGTGAAGGAATAGTGCTGGAATCCTCAAATTTGAAAATGAGGTCTCTGTTGCTATCTGGAATTGAGATATGGAGTAGGTTTTGGAAACGTATACGTTAATTGTAGAAATGTGTACTACAATTGTTCAAAAAGTACTAAGTGACACTAAATTTGGTTAAGGAATAGAGCTGAAATTCCGAAATTTGATACTGAGGTCACTGTTGGTTTTTTGAGACTTGGGGGTGGTTTTGGAAATGTAGAAAGAATATTAAATTGAACCAAAAGACCTAAATAGTACCAATATTGGTATTGGATGAAGGAATAGAGCTGAAATCCGTAAATTTGAAATCCGTACTGTTGGTATCTGAGGTTGAGATATAGAATCTGTTTTGGAAATGTGTACTATGGTTCACATGGTGGTATGGGTGAAGGGATTGTCCTGAATTTTATATTGAGGTCTCTGTTGGTAACTGGAATTGTGCAGGCAAAGTACAAAATTGCACTAAATTTGGTATTGGGTGAAATCCTGAAATTTAATACTAATGTCACTATTGGTGTTCTCAGTTGAGAGAAGGAGATGATTTTGGAAATGCGTTATATGAACTTGCGAAAAGTGCAAAATGCCACTAAATGTGCCGTTGAAGAGCACTGATCCTTATTGAGAATAGCTGTAAATCCACGTTTTGCAATTCAATACCATTCTTGACCTGACTGTATGGGCTATTATGGCCCCCGTTATGATGGTAGTTGGTCTTGCGTTAGTACTAAACCAGTTTGGAGCTTTTGTGATTTCTTGGTTTTCCACCAGAAGAACCGTATCAGTGGTTCGGTAGGCAGCGGGTGATTTTCTGTCTCCAGGTCTTCTAGAAAAAGGCCTAAACCTTAAACTTTGAGCCGTCCGTGCAGCAGCTTCCTTATGGCATACTTGCTTTGCATCCGCCGTTCCACAAAACTCTGTCGGTGATTAGTGTTATGCGCGATGCAAATAATTTCTTTATAAGTACTCTGTCAGAAATTGTCTCCTCTATTGAGACTTCCATAGTGACCTTGTAATGTGTAATAGTCGCTTTCAGCCTCTTCCCAGTCGCTTTCATCCTCACACCTAATCTTTATTATACCCTCCAGCTTGCAAAAGAGGGTACATTATCTTTGTCATTCCGTTTGTAACATCCTTAAATATTCGTCGTAGATCCCATAAAGTATACATATTCATAATCAGCATAAAATTCTAAGTCGATTTAACGATGACCGTCTGTCTGTCCGTCCGTGCGTCCGTCTGTATGTCTGTCTGTCTGTCCGTCTGTCTGTTGAAATCACGATACAGCCCACATTATTTGGCGTAGAGCGTCAAAATTTAGCAGAATAATTTGTATTGTGTCTAGGATGTTCGGTATTGAAAATAAGATATATCGGTCCACGTTTTGGTATAGCCCCCATATACCTTTACCTCCCGATATTCGGTATTTTGATTATTTTTGCCACATTTTTTCCCGTATTTGTCTGAAAATTGGTATTAGTTGTTCATAATAGGTTCTAGTTCCGGTGGCGAAACATAGCATGTATGGGTCCACGATTTGGTACAGCCCCCATATAACGTCACCTCCCGATATGCGGTATTATGATGATTTTTGACACATTTTTTCACGAATATCTCTAAAAATTGGTAGTTGTAGATCAAAATGGGTGCCAGTTCGTGTGGCGAGTCATTGTAATTATAGGTCCACGTTTAGGTATAGCCCCCATACATCGGTACCTCCCGATATTCGGTAATTTGATGATTTTTGCCACATTTTTTCCCGTATTTGTCTGAAAATTGGTATTTGTGGGTCATAATGGGTTCTAGCTCCGTTTGTGAAACATTGCATATGTAGGTCAACGATTTGGTGTAGCCCCCATATAAGGATACCTCCAGATATTCGGCATTTTAATTGTTTTTGCCACATTTCTTCTGTTTCCTTTACCCTAAGGTGGAGGGTATTAAAAGTTTGGCCCAGCTAACCTTAATGTTTTTTTACTTAATTTTTTATTAGATGCATAAAAAAATCTGTCTCCAAAACTCTCGTGGATTTACTCCTCATTACCCCTCTGATGCCGAGGTAGCACACTCCTTGGACTTTCTTTCTTGGACGCTAATTACGCTCCTGTACAGCCAGTGAGTCATTTTTGAAATTAGTCCACATCTTGAACCTATTATCCTTCTATAGATTGACCAGCATCGGTGAGCTTTGTTCGCTCTTTCGTTTACATGAGTTGAGTTTTTTTTTTATCCAGGATTACCCCTAGTTAGTTTTTTTTTTTACTGGAGATTCTAATAAGTCATAAGTCCTTACCAGTTAACCACTCCTCTTTTTATATCCACCATTTTGATATTGAAAAGCACGTTATAAAAATGTGTTTGTACAATATGTCAACAACGAAATTAAACTCAAAATTTGTTCGATCACCCAAAAACACAATTTTCCCTTCTCCTAAATTTGGCACTAATTTGAGGTCTAATTCTGAAGTATTGCAAGAATTATTTTACCTTTAGGCCATTCCACAAAATATTTTCCAATTTGAATTTGGCAAAGTTTAAATAACGGCTAATTTTCTAATTTTTCAATTTAAATTCTCATTCGTTTTCCAGTATTTGAACAGCGAAAAAAAAACAAAGCAAACAATAAATAATTTACACTTACCGCTGGCATTATATTGTACTCGTCGTCATCCTCGCCATCGTCGGCGGCCAATATATTTTCCGCTGAAGTTGCCTTCATTTCCCTTGCCATATCAATGGCATCACTGCCTGCTCCATTGTTCTCCGGTGAGACTCCGGTCGTTGTCGTCGTCGATTGTTGCGAGGTACAGGAGGTGGAACGCAATAAACCCAATTTTGTAACATTTTTAAATAATTTCCAACGTTCACGGGCTGTACGGCCTAAAGCGGTGTTTTCGCTGGTGCTGTGTAACAACAACAGCATCAGAAAAAGAACAAAAACAGAAACATGAGAAAAACCAATTGAAAAGGATATGAATTCAAGAATAAAGATATCAGTTAAAACAACGTCAGTTACATTGTCATCCGGCAAAACGGGAGTTCTTTCAGTCGTTGAAAAGTTAATGGGTTCGACGGAACACCAGCATGAATTGCTGTTGTTTTGTGGTGCTGGAGGTGGTGGGGGTGATGATGATGCCATTCAACACAATTCAATGAAACACCATCAAAAATGGAATTTCCCATTTAAAGCTGAGGACGGAAGTCCTTAGGGGTTAAAAGAAAAACCTATTACCCGCCGTACCAGCAGCTCTTCTTAACTTTTAAGTTAGTTACTTAGGCTGTGAAAGCCTCTTTTATAATGAACACTTGGTAGTGGAATTAATTTTACTCCTTTTCCTGGTGAACATCCTGCAGAGCTCAAACTATTCGAAACCACAAAATTCCAGGAATTATCTACAATTACCAACGACGGTTAAATGGAAATGATGAGTCGGCATTTTTTAATTGCAGATTTCTCAATTGACTTATTACCTGTGATTAATTAATTTTCGGTAAACATAATCAAGTTCATGTTTAATTGACACAGTGTCTACTCTTCCTCACCCTAGAGTAAAGTGAGGACTTATTTAAACTGGTATTAAATATATTTTTATACCCTCAGCCATATGGCTACAGCCATATGCCTAGTCGAAATAGTGGTTTTAGACCCTAGGCCTCTTTGGACCAAATCCGTTTCAGAACATTTGGAGTCGATCTACCGATGTCCGTCCGTCCGTCCGTCCGATTTGATCCAAACTTGGTACATCGTAATATTTTTGTCAAACTTAGATCGAGTTCGGAGATGGGCAATATCGGTCCACTCCTTCTGGTACTTCCCACACAAAATGTCAAAATTTTCAAAGAAAATAATGTATTGCACAGAAAGAGAGAGGATAATCCGATTTTGCTCGAACTTTGCGAATCCTAATATTTTCATCAGTGCCAGTTCAGGTACGAAAATGGACAATATCGGTCCACTCCATCAAGTACCTCCCCCACAAAGGGTCAAAATTTTGAATAATTGCAACTCCTATAAAATGTGATGTAAGAGTCCGATTGTCTTCAAATTTCACACATCCCAATAATTTTATTAGCCCAAGGTCTGGTGTGAAAATGGAATATATCGGTCCACTTCTTCGGGTAAATCCCCCACAAAAGGTCGAAATTTTCAAAAACAAAAAAATTTTTTTTTCTGCACATAAAGAGAAGCAATAATCCGATTTTACTCAAACTTTGCAAATCCTTATATTTGCATCAGTTCTAGGTCAAGTGCGAAAATGGACAATATCGGTCCACTCCATCAAGTATCTCCCCCACAAAGGGTCAAAATTTTGAATAATTACAACTCTTATAAAATGTGATGTAAGAGTCCGATTGTCTTCAAATTTTACATATTCCAATATTTTTATTAACCCAAGGTCTGGTGTTAAGAGGGAATACATCGGTCCACTCCTTTTGGTACCTCCCCCACAAAAGTTCAACATTTTCAAAAAAATATACATAAAATATATTTATTTTTGCACAGAAAGAGAAATGGTTACCCGATTTTGCTCTAACTTTGCAAATCCTAATATTTGCGTCAGTGCTAGGTCATGTGCTAAAATGGACAGTACCGGTCAACTCCAGCAAGTACCTCCCCCACAAAGGGTCAACATTTTGAATAATTATAACTCTTATAAAATGTGATGTAAGGATCCGAACGCCTTCAAATTTCACACATTCCAATATTTTTATAAACCCAGGATCTGCTGTTAACATGGAATATATCGGTCCACTCCTTCTGGTACCTCCCCCACAAAGTGTCGAAATTTTGAATACCCATGAAGCTCATAAAACGCCACATTAAGATCCGATTCCATTTAGACTTGGCACATCTCAATATTTCTATCAACACAAGATCTGTTATAAAGGTGGTATAGAACGAACCATTTCTTCTGGTACCTCCCCCATACTTAGGGTTCAAGATTTTGAAAAACAAAACGCTCAAATAAAGCGAAATAAGCATCCAAATCTTTTCAAATTTCACACATAAAAATTTGTTTGCTAACACAAAATCTGTTATGAAGTTGATATATATCTGCGAACCCCTTCTGGTACCTCACCCACAAAGGGTCACAATTTTCAATAATTTTATCTGTCATAACTTTCGAAACAATTTAGCAATTCTTTACTACTTGCTATGCTCAAATATTTCTCTCAATAAGAAGCATGATATAAATATGGCATTTATCGGAATTTATGATTTCGCATATGGTACATCACGCACATTTTGACATATTTTTGGGTCTGATACAAAATGGACAATATTGGCCCATTCCTTCGGAACCGGCTCCATAGAGGATCAAACGTTTGAACAACTGTAACACTAGTCAAATATATTTCGATTATTTATTCGAACATAGGCTGAGGGTATATATTTGTCGGCAATACCGACTGTTACTTTTTAACTTGTTTAGTGAAAAACAAGTAAGGAAAAAGTCAAAAGTCGGGCGGGGCCGATACCCAAATGCATATTTAGTACTGCTTCCCGTAACAAATAAACGTTTATATTTGGAATCTTTGTAAAGTAGATCATACCAACTATGAACCTTATTTGAATCCGTTTCATGGATTAAGAGTAGTCACAGTTTATGAAGTATATCTAGCTCTGAATCGATTTTCAACAAAATTGAAGGTGGCCTTTGTACCTCTAATACTAAATAATATAGCTTTACAGTGCATTGTATGACTTCGATAAGAATTATTATTTTATTTTTATTTATTGGAGCAATAGATAACCGGACCGAGTTTCACCAAATGGAAAACTTAAAAATAAAATTGGGCTGATATTAAATGTATGGTCGACAATAACCGTAAAATCGAATGAAGTTGTATATAAAATCGAAGGTACATAAAAATCTTAACCGATCTCGATAAAATTTGGCAGAGGTATTATCGAGCTGTTTCTGATGTCCGATATCAAAAATCATTGTTGTGTAGTGCATATTGGGCATTTGAGGATCTTTAACACCAAACATATATATGGGAGCTATAGCCATGTCTGAAATTTGGTCGGATGTGCGGAAACAAATCCTAATTGGATGAATGTTAGCCATTCGGAGCACAATAAACCTGAAATCGGTTGAAGATATATATGGGAGCTACTTTCAAATCTGAACCGTTTTTGATAAAATTTAGCAGATTCCTTCTGATATCTGGTACCAAATATTATTGTTGTCGAATGCATATTACGAATGTGAAGGACTCAAAACCCATATCGGATGAAACATATATATGGGAGCTATAGCTACATCTGAACCGATTTTGATATCGAATAAATGTATATATGGACGCTATATCCAAATCTGTTTCGATCATGAAAAAATTTGGCAAAGGTATTTCTGGGATTTATCGGTACACAAGTAACCCCAAATCGGTTGAAGATATATATGGGAGCTATATCTTAATTTGAACCAATTCTCATCAATTTCAATAGGACTCGACCTTGGGCCAAACAAATATTGTTTGGAAAATTCATCTCAATCGGATAATAAATGCGATTTGCATTTTGTTTACAAAAATACATGGATAGACATAAATCGACTCAGAAAGTGATTCTATGAAGATCCCCAAAAGTAATTATGGGTCTTTCTCACTTCCTTCTCCATGTTACATACAAATGCACAAAGACATAATACCCTTACCACCATGAAAATAAGTGTTGATTTTTTAAAAGTACCCTCTAGATATCGATCTAGGTTGAAATTGTATTTTTTTAAACAATATGAATTTAATAGCCTACTATTAGGCAGTCTACCATTCTGAAACTACCGTATAGTTAGGAACTTGATATATACATTACACATTATGTTATGTTAATGTAAAATTTGGTTGATCGACTTTTCCTATCTCCTTCCTATCGATTTTCTTATTTTAGCAAATCTCTTTTTTCCTAAAGGAAAGTTCAAACTTCTACTATCAAAAGACTTGAAGGTAAAAATGGGTGTACAACGTTCTCTTTACTATACAGGAAATGTGTTTGACATTGTTAAAGTGGAGTGGAGAGTTCTTTCCACTATAACGAACTTATGTATATCTCGGAAGATTATTTTCGTGGCGTTACGTCACCCTATCATCAATTTAACAGTAATACCGGAAGCATTCTGAAATATTACAGATTGTTGCATTTCTCGTATTGCTCAGAATAACGATAGGGACTACTTTGTTTGTTGTAGTCAATTACCACGAGAGGAGCGCGATGAGCATCTTCCCACTAACCCTGATGACTCAGTAGCAAGAAAATTGACAACGGTACTTATAGGTTGACGAAGGAATAAGCAGGAAGAGGTAAATTATATGTAAAATATAGTCTCGTCGGAAGCGGAGTGTGTAAAGTGTGAGCCTGTCTTAACCATGAAACAAGGATGGCCGGGCGTCTGTCATAATAATGAAATTGAGGTGATAAACGCGAAGAGGTGAGCGATTAGTAACTAAATGTTTCTTAATTTGAAATAGTTTTGGGTGAAGCTCTAATTATTAAAATTTGTATTTGGGTCCTTCTTGGAAAGTACTAAATGATACTGTATTTGGTACAAATTGGTATTAGACAAAAAAAAGTGCCTGAAATCTGAAATTTGGAATTGGGGTAGCTGTTCATGTATAGCCTGGACCTATAGAGGTGGATTACTAAATGTGAACAATTGTTGTACGAAAAGTACTGAATGGTACTAAATTTGGTATTGGGTGAAGGGATATAGATAAAGTTCTGAAATGTAATATTTATATTAGTAATTGTATCTGTGTTTGCTATTTTATGGCTGTTTGGAAATATGTTCCATATTCGTACGATAAGTACTAAATGGTACTAAATTTGAAAAGGGATGGGACTGAAATGCTGAAATTTGATATGGATTTGACTGTATGTGTCGGTGGTTGAGAGAAGAAACTGGAGTTTGGATATGCGTACTATAATTGTGTTAAATAGTACTAAATTTAGTATTGGATGAAGGAATCGAGCTGAAATCGTTCATTTGATATGGATGTCACTGTTGGTATCTATGGTTGATAGAAGAAGCTGGTTTTAAATATGTGTAATATAATTGTACTAAATGGTACTAAATTTGACAATGAGGGAAATTAAAAACTGAAATCCTGAAATTTGATATTAAGGTCACTGTCGTATCTGGTTGTGGCTTTGTACATGTGCACTATAATTGTACGAAAAGTACTTAGTGGAACTAAATTAAGTATTGAATAAAGGAATAGGGCTGAAATTGTAAAATTTAATATTTTGGTTTCTGTATGAATCTGCAATTGAGACATGGAGGTGGATTGGAAATGTGTCATAAATTTGTACGAAAGGTACCAAATCGACTAAGCAAGTTTAATAAGAAAATTAAAAAGATTTTGCCCCTCTATCCAGGTAATAGATGCGTACCTTCTTTTTATACCCTCCACCATAGTAGGGAGGGTATATTAAGTCTGTCATTCCGTTTGTAACACCTCGAAATATACATTTTAGACCCCACAAAATTCTATGTCGATTTAGCGATGGCCGTCCGTCTGTGAAAATCACTTTAGCTTCCGAACGAATTGAAGTAGATTGATAAAATTTTACTCAAATGTATGTCATGTCTGCAGGACTTCTGGTATTGAAAATGGACCATGTAGGTCTACGTTTTGGTATAACCCCCATTTAACGGTACCTCCCGATATTCCGTATTTGATGATTTTAGCGACATTATTCACCGGAATTCTTTCAAATTTGGTATTTGAAGTTCGTAATGGATGCTACAGCATATGACAGGAGATTGTCTGTGCAGGTCCACGTCTTCGTATAGCCCCATATAACGGTACCTCCCGATATTCGGTATTTTGCTGATTTTAGCGACAATATTCATGGGAATTGTTTCAAATTTGGTATTTGAGGTTCGTCATGGATACTGCAGCCTAAGACAGAAAATTGTCTGTGCCGATCCACGTCTTTGTATAGCCCCCGTATAACGGTACCTCCCGATATTCGGTATTTTGATGATTTTTGCTACATTACTAACAGATTTTTCTTCAAGTTTCGCATTTAAATATTGTAATAACTTATGACAAAAATTGCCTATGTAGGTCCAAGTCGTCGTATAGGCATTCGGTATTTTTAAAATTTTAACAGAATTTTTAACGGATTTTATTTTTTGAAGTTGTCAAATTTGTACCAAATGGGGAGGGTATTAAAAGTTCGGCCCGGCCGAACTTACAGCTTTTTTACTTGTTTGCTCTTCTTTTATAATATTTAGATGTTTCCTGTAATTATTGAAAAAAAAAAATATCGCCCAATGTAATTTTTAATTTAGTCTGTCAGTGGATCATAAATAGAAACGAGCCATGCATTCGAGGCGACTTGACTTCATTTAAAGCTCCAGTAGAAGTTTCGTATTCCATTTTGTCACAGAGTAAGAAATCTTCAAGGAAAAATCATATTTACAGTTTCTTGTTTCTGTGGATTTAGAAAACTCCAAAAAAGTATCAACAAACACCGGTTTTGTCAAAATAATACCTTAACCAGTAAAGAAAGTCTTAAAGTCGGACGGGGCCGACCTTATGATACCCTACACCACTTTGCTAATTAAGTAGAGCTCCACATAACAATTAAAAGTTTTTATGGGAGAATTCAATCATACACGCTATGATTTATAATTTAAAGTTCAAAAGATGAAATATGCAGAAGCAAGCACAAATTATTTGAAATCGGGTAAAGATATATATGGGAGCTATATCCAAATCTGAACCGATCTCGATAAAATTTGGTAAAGATATTTCTGAGCTGTATTTGATATATTTCCCTGAATATCGTTGTTACGGAGTGCATATTACGGTTTTGGGTAACAAATACAACAAATCGGATGAATAATATATATGGAAGCTATAGCTATATCTGAACCGATCTTCACCAAATTTAACATACTAGCTTCTAGGCTCAATTCGGTTGTAAGTGCCAAATTTCATCCAATTTGGACAAATATTAGACGTTTGGTGCACAATAAAAGGTAAATCGGACTAAGTTATATAAGGGAGCTATATCCAAATCTGAATCGATCTCGATAAAGTTTAGCAACGGAATTTCTGAGCTGTATTTGATATATTTCCCCAAATATTGTTGTAACAGAGTGCATATTACGGCTGCGAAGGACAAAAATAACAAATCGGATGAACAATATATATGGGAGCTATAGCTATATCTGAAACGATTTCAATCAAATTTGGCATACTTATTTTCAGGTCTAATTTGGTTGTATGTGCAAAAATCCATACTATTCGGGCTGATATTACACGTTTGGTGCACAATAAAAAGCAAATCGGACGAAAATATATATGGGAGCTATATCTAAATTTTTACCTATTATCTTCAATTTCAATAGGGTTCGTCCTTGGGCCAAACAAATATTGTTTGGAAAATTTCATCTCTATAGGACAATAAATGCGAACTGTACTTTGTTTACAAAAATACATGGACAGACGGACGGACATGCATAAATCGACTCAGAAAGTGATTCTATGCAGATCATCAAAAGAAACTATGGGTCTATCTCGTTTCCTTTTGCCTGTTACAAACAAATGCACAAAGACATAATACCCTGACCACCTTGTGGTGTAGGGTGTAAAAAAGTGTAAAAATTATGGCGTTTGACTTTGTTGGAGTTTTTTTTTTCTCACCCTGTAAAGTTGGGATATGTAGGTAGGATATGTCAGAATATATATTAAGCGAATTACTTACTGAACTCTTGGTGAGGAAATTATTAGCTAAAATATCTTCAAAAAATGTTACAGCCACCCGTTTCTGTGACATTACCAAACCCCAAAACAGTATCAACAAACACCGATTTTGTCAAAATATTACAAATACTCCAGGCGATTTTTTATCCCATTCCTCTTTCCCTCGTATTAAAATAATTCTAATGAAAAAATTACATCCCTTTTCAATGGAAAAACATTTCTTGTACTCACTTGTTTTGTTGCTCCCTTTCATTGGCTTTGGCAATTATTGAATTCCATTTGGCGATTATGTGTGGATGAGTGGCTGCGATCTCCTTGTAGCTGCCGGATGCCTGCAGACAGCCATCTTTCAATACAATTAACTGCAAAAAGAGACACCGAAAAGATAACACAAACACACACAAAGAGAGATGAGATGAGCAGCAGTTCAATAACAGAATTATTTCAACATCCGCCAAAGCAGATAACGGCAGGAATGTCATTGAAATGAAAAGGTCCGGAAACAGGGCATTACAAGTGTTTATGAATTGAATGACAAAGCGGAAGACAAGTAAGTAATGCAATAAATTAAAAATCATATTTTCATTTCCATGGAAATGCGAAAAAAAGAGAGAGAGAGCGTGTTGACATTTGGCAAATATTCAAACGGGGAAAAATTGCAAATGTCATTTTTTTGATTAATTTACCAATAACTGTCACCCACACCTTGGGCCACCAGTTCAGTGATGTTTTAATAATGTCTCTGTTTCCATTCCTTTCTCCTCCCCTTCCAAAGTAGCATCTATCGGAAGTGTCATAAAATATTTTGGGTGAATGGAAATTTGGCCGGAGCCCCCATCACCCCACCCAAAACGCTTACTTACATTGTGTGCCTGCTGTACCAGATTTAATTGTTGTGTCACCAGAATGACAGTGCGATTGGCTTTCAACAGCATCTTTTTAATGCTCTGTTCGAAAATGTGACGCGCCACTTCATTGTCCAGCGATGATAAGGGATCATCCTTGAAATCGGAAAAGATGAAAAAAAAAACATGGAAACAGACATGGTTAAATGAAGGAAATATTAAATGTTTACAAAGAAAAACAGAATGACAAATGACATTCAGTAAAGCATTATGGTCACACATACACACACACACACACATTTTAATGTCAAACTATAAAATATTAAAACATGGCAACTGTTTGATAGATTTTTCCTCTCACCATTATCACCACATTGGCCGATGAATACAAGGCTCTGGCAATGGCCACACGTTGCCTTTGGCCACCCGACAAATTAATGCCTCTTTCGCCGATTACTGTTAAGTCACCCGCTGGCATCAAATCTATGTCCGGCTTCAGAGCGCAGGCATCCAAAACAAAGTCATAACGTTTCGGTCGAAATGATTCGCCAAATAGAATATTTTCCCGTATACTGGCATTGAGAAGCCATGGCTGCTGTGGGACAAAGGCAATTGTTGAAGATCTACAAAAAAAATTTGGAAAGAACGATGGTAAGTAATTAAATATTTTTATGGTATTCTAGTAGAGTCGGTATGAGCAACTAGAAAAAAGCTACAATTTATTTACTTAGCTATGAAAATGCACAATAAGAGCCAGTCATTTCAAAATACAAATTGCATATAATTCTATTGACAAGTGAATAAAAATTAAACAAGTATAAAAGCTGTAAATTCGGTCGGGCCGAACTTTGAATACCCTCCACCATTTGGAACGAATTTGGCAATTAAGAAAAATAAAATCCGTTAAAAATTATGATAAAATCTTAAAAATACCGAATGTAGCTGTTACATTTGGATCTATACGACGACATGGACCTGCATAGGTAACTTTTGTCAAAAGCAGTAATTTCGGCCGGACCGAACTTTGAATACCCTCCACCATTTGGAACGAATTTGGAAATTTTCAAAAAATAGAATGTGTTAAAAATGCTGTTAAGCTCTTAAAAATACGGAATACAGCCGTTATATTGGGTTCTATAAGAATATAGCCGTTATCCTGGGGTCTACATGGGCATTGTTTGTCATAAGCCGTTACCATATTCAAATTTGAAACTTGAAATAAACGGTGAATAATGTAGCTAAAATCATAAAAATACCGTATATAGGGAGGTATCGTTATATCGGAGCTATACGAAGACTTGAACCTGCAAAGACAATTTTCTGTCATAGGCTGTAGCATCTATTACGATCCTTAAATGTGACATTTCAAACAATTTCGGTGAGTATTGTACCTAAAATCATCAAAATACCGAATATAGGGAGGTACTGTCATATAGTGCCTATACGAAGACCTGGACCAGCATAGATAATTTTCTGTCATAGGATGTACGATGTTCAAATACGACATCTCAAACAATTTCGGTGGGTACTGTACCTAAACACGTCAAAATTCCGAATTTAGGGAGGTACTGATGTATGAGGCCTAAACGAAGACCTGGACCTGCATAGACAATTTTATTTCATAGACTGTAGATCCCATTAAGAATTCCAAAAACGTAATTTGAAACAATTCCGGTGAACAACGACGATAAAATCATCAAAATACCGAATGTCGGGAGGTACCGTTATATGGGGGCTATACGAGAAGACGTGGACCTGCATATACAATTTTCTGTCATAGGCTGTATCATCCATTTCGAACTTCATATGTCAAATTTGAAACAATTCCGATGAATATTGTCGCAAACATCATCAAAATACCGAATATCGGGTGGTACCATTATATGGGGGCTATACCAAAACGTGGACCTACATGGCCCATTTTCAATACCAAAAGTCCTGCAGACATAATACATATTTAAGTAAAATTTTATCAATTTACTTCAATTTTTTCGGAAGCTAGAGTGATTTCCACAGACGGACAGACGGACATCGGTAAATCGACATACACTGATGGCCAAAACTAAAGCAACTGAAATTACAAGGAGAATGAATGCCCTGTAACTTTTTCAAAAATGAAGAAAATGAGAAAGTTTTTCTTGTTTTAAATTAGGTACTTTATTCACTTTTTAAAAACCTAAAACATAAAACCAAAATTTATTTTTATATAAAAAATAATGTTTGGTAAAGTCTATTAACCCGATTTTGGCTTGGACAAAACAAAAGAAACTCTGTTGTACATTCATATAACCGCTGCAATTTCAGTTGTTTTTACTGTGATATTTATCGCTTTTTGCTTCCTTCGACAATTTCGCTTGTCATAAATCCTTTTTGAGAAGTTTTTTACAACACTATGTGTTTTTCTTTTCGTTTTTTAAGTACTGCCCAAAAAAATTTTAAAAATGGCTAGAAGCAAATACAGTACCTGAATAAAACAGCAAATTATCAGTGTTGATAGTCACTGATAATTTGCTGTTTTATTCACAACATATCACAGAAAATGATTTCCGAGAAATATTTCATAAATATTTATGTGATTTCAGAATTATTTCTGTATACTAAGTCGGTTTTTTGAAACTGGATCAGTAGTAACAGTCTATAACGGATGAAGGCCATGAAAAACTTCAGCCCGTACTGATCCACAAATTGTGAGTGAAATAAAAAAACAACCATTTAAGAGTTCAACTGGATTGGTGAGAGAGCAATCATTGGATATAAGCTCGAGATCAGTGCGTAGACGAGTAGTGGCAGCTGGTCTGCATGCCCGTAAGACATCAAAAAACCATTTATATCTGAAAAAATCGAAAAGGCTTTCGGAAACGATAATATTAACGTTAAACATTAAAGGCTCAGACGTGAAAAATTTTACGGTGAGAAGACCAAAAAATGAACGACTCAAGCCGCAGTGTTGCAAAGGTACAGTGAAGCATGTGGGAAGGTCAAAAATGGCGTGGCGCTGTTTTTCTTTCTATGGACTTGGGCCTATCCATAAAATAAAGGAAGTTGTGGATCGGTTTGTTTACAAAGATGTGTTGGACATCACGTTGTTCCCTTACGCTGAGTAAAATATTCGGTTGATTTGGGTGTTTCAGCATGACAATGATCCCAAACTTGTATCAAAACTTGTCAAATATTGGTTGCGGGAGTCAAAAATTCATGTTTTGTTGTGGCCGGCACAATCACATGACCTAAACTCCTTAGAAAACCTTAGGAGTATCATAGATAGGAAGATCAAGAGAGATTCGGAAATAAATAAGCACAACATTTTCTAAAGAATTCGGGGTGCCTGGGACAGCACACTCAAGGATCAAATTGAGCGTGTTATAGATTCAATGCCTCGTAGGTGTGCGGCTGATATCAAAAATAATGGTTATGCTATCGACTACTAGCCAAAATTTAATTATTTTAAAATAAAAAATCAAAAGTTGCTTTAGTTTTGACTATGCAAAAATTGGGTCATTTTAGTTTTCCATATATTATTTTTCGTTCAAAATTATTTTTGTATTTTTATTTTTAGTTTCTTAAAAGTGAATTAAACCCCTAATTTAAAACTGGAAAAATAATTACGATTTGTTTATTTTTGTAAAAGTTACAGGACATTTATTGTCTTTGCGATTTAAGTTGCTTTAGTTTTGGCCACCAGTGTAGAAGTTTATGCTGATCAAGAATATATATACTTTGTGGGGTCTAAAATGTATATTCCGACAAACTTAATATGCCCTCCATACTATGGTGGAGGGTATAAAAATGTGAAATCAAAGTACAGATTATTGGGAGGTTTCGTTTATGTCCTATATATATAAGGTCGGTCAGTAGGCACATCTGACAACTAAGTTTGGCCGACTTAAATTCAAAGAGAGTCAAACGAAACGTTTGATGATCTGCATAGAATCACATTCTGAGTCGATTTATGCATATCCGTCCGTCTGTCCATGTATTTTCGTAAACAAAGTACAGGTCTCATTTATTGGCCGATCCGGATGAAATTTTGCACAAATCATTTGTTTGACCAAAAGACGAACCCTATTGAAATTGGAGATAATCGGTTAAAATTGAGATATAGCTCTAAATATATAACTTCGTCCGATTTGCCTTTTACTGTGCACCAAATGTGTAATATCAATCCAAATATTATGGAATTTTACACATACGACTAAATTAGGCCTGAAAACAAGCATAATATAGTAATTTGATCGAAATCGGTTCAGATATAGCTATAGCACCTATATGTATTCTTCATCCGATTTGTTGAATTTGTCCTGCACAGACATGGGGTATTGCGTGAACAGATAGTGCTTGAAATTTTGTATTAGGATCGCTGTTAATGTGTAGCCTGAACATATGGAGTTGATTTTGGAAATGTTTATTATATTAGTACGAAAAGTACTGAAGAGTACTATATTTGATATTGAGTGAAGGGTTAGAGATAATATTCTGAAATTTCATATTTAGAAATTTCATATTTTGGCAGTGATGCGGAAATGAGTCCTATATTTTTACGAAAAGTACTAAGTGGTATTAAATTTAGTATTAGGTGAAAGGTTGGGGCTGGAATTCTTAGAATTGATATTGAGGTTTCTGTCGGTATATGAAATTGAGATATGGAAATTGTTTTGGAAATGTGTACTATAATTGTACGAAAAGTACTAAACAGTACTAAATTTGGTATGGGAAGGGAATAGAACTGAAATCATGAAATTTGCTATATATGGTACTATTGGTGTCTGTGGTTAATATATGGAGGTGGTTTTGGAAATGTTTACTATAATTGTACGAAATGTACAAAATAGTACCAAATTTGGTATTGGGTGAGGGACTAGAGCAGGAATTCAGAAATTTGATATTGAGGTCACTTTTGGTTTGTAACTCCGACGTAGACAGAAATGCCTTTCGAATCAATTTTTGGGAGTGGTTCCAACCAAAAAAAATTAGATTTCAATGCAAAAGTTACTAAAAAAATGTCTCAAAAACTACTATCCTCATGACAACGACGGTGGCTTGCAGTGTTTACATAAACCCTGGACAGAAAAAAATGTTGTACAACTATTGTGCAATAGTTTCACTAATATTCTCCTCCCAAAACTTCAAAATGAGAGATATATTGGTGTAAAAGCTAAACATTTTCCTATCATTCTTTCAGAAAAGGGAAATCTTGAAAAATAAATAAGACCTTGATAATCTAGAAATTTAGTACGACGTATGAAGTTTTGATTAACAAATTGTCAAAGTGAAAAAATTGTAAATTTTGAGTACTAACAAGTAAAAAAACATTAAATTCGCCCGGGCCGAACTTTTAATTACCTCAACCTAAGGATAAAGGAAACATTAGAACCCATTATGACCCACAAATACCAATTTTTAGACTTATTCCTCGGAAAATGTGGCAAAAATCAACAAAATATGGAATATCGGGAGGTACCTCTATATAGGGCTATACAAAAACGTGAACCCATACATAGAATGTTTCGCCAACGGATCTAGAACCCATTATGACCAACAAATCCCAATTTTTAGAAAAATCCGCAAAAAAATGTGACAAAAACCATCAAAATGCCTAATATCGGGAGGTACCTTTTTATGGGGG